TTCCAAATCATTTTCTTTCTCCTCCTGCGTCGTTTTCTTTTCTTATTATCATTATTATTATCTTTCTTTTTCCTCTTCCTCCTCCTGATTTTCCTGTTTTCATTTTGTATTTCTCCCTATTTTTTCTCTCTTCCTTTTCGCCCCACATCTCTTTCGTGGTATCCTTGTTCTTTCTTTCCTTTCAGTTCTTCCTAATACCACTCTGTCACCCTAACGAGTACTGCTACTATTTACATACTTATAATCCCTAATACAGCTATTACTTCTACTCTTACTACTCCATTACTATTATTATCACTACCACTACTATTACTACTACCACTATTACTACTATTACTACTGACATTACTACTGCTACTAATACTATTACTATTATTTTTGTCATAACTATTACCACTACCATTATTAGCACTAAGGCCACTACTACTACTGTGGGCATTGCTACTATGGTTGCAGTTACTACTACCACTTCTGTTACTGCTTCTGTTGCCATTATTACTGCTACAGTTTAAATTACTAAAGAATATTTTTCCTATCATCCACTTATAGCTAAGCCTTCCTTTTTATTTACTGCTTAAACTAAAACATGTATGACGTATTATGTTTCGTGTTGCATTCACTTATTGCAATGTACGTACGTGCTGCATTGCTTACTGCGTTCGTATGCGACTCTGGGTGGCCGCTTGTTCAAAGTTCAGTTCTAAGAGTTGCTCTTAAAAACAGCTACAGGAGAGCAGATTGAAAAGCGTTACAAGCGATTCATCATTCAAGCAACTATATGGTTCCTTGGTTGCTGTTCTCTGCCTCTGTCTTTCTGTCTGTCTCAGTCTCTGTCTCTGTCTCTCTCTCTCTCTCTCTCTCTCTCTCTCTCTCTCTCTCTCTCTCTCTCTCTCTCTCTCTCTCTCTCTGCCTATGCCTATGCCTTTTCCTTTGCCTCTGCCTCTCTCTGTCTCTCTCTCTCTCTCTCTCTCTCTCTGCCTATGCCTATGCCTTTTCCTTTTCCTTTGCCTCTGCCTCTCTCTCTATATATATATGTGTGTGTGTGTGTGTGTGTGTGTGTGTGTGTGTGTGTGTGTGTGTGTGTGTGTGTGTGTGTGTGTGTGTGTGCGTGAAAATTTAGCCTGAAAGTCCATTCTTCTTGAGGTTTATAAAATTAATGGCGTAAAAGTACCGTTACATATGTGCCGGGTTGTCTCTGAATCTCGTGTTCGACTTGGGTTCGACTCTTGCTTCATTTCATGAGTTCGCTGTTTGTTACGTTAGTCTTTCGCCATTTATCAGCAGTAGAATGTTCTAAAACCTTTACAAGAAGAAAGAAGAATGCTAGAATGGGGTTGGGGGTGAAAGGGCGTTGACCTTGGGTTGCCTGGGGATATTGTGTGGCAGGGGTGTGAAGAGCTGGTGTCCTGTGTTGGTGGGTGCATTTTATTCAGGTCAAGAGATCAGTATCTATGATAAAGCAATTGTTATAGGGGGAGAGAGACAAATGGAAGGAAAAGAAGGAGAGAGATGGGGAGAGAGAGAGGGAGAGCGAGCGAGAGAGAGAGAGAGAGAGAATGAAGGAGGGGAGGGGAGGAAATTAGAGAGAGTCAGATAAAGACACACACCGATGGAGATGGAAGGAGACAGAGAGAGAGAATTCGAAATCATGTCCTTAATTCCTGAACTTCTTAAGCATTCAATGTTACATAACGTATACGTATATAAACATACATCTATATCCATATATCTGCCACATATATCCCTTAAATTAGGCTACAGCTTCTGGTATAGAACGCCGACAAAGTCCCTTTTTTTACATTTCGAAAAAGAATAGCAGTCATTCTGGTACCCAAATTACTGTTTATGTCAGTGCCTTTGGTATATAATTCACCGTTCTTTATTCACCGGTTTTGTTGTCTGACGTCGTGAAGAAAACGGAATCGATGTGGATTTTATTTTGAGTTTTCGCTCTCTTCAGTGACGTTTGTTGTTGTTGTCCTTATATAACTGCCCTTGTTCTATCTTCTTTCTTCTCCTTTATCGGTTTTCTTCTGTTTCTTTTTCTCCTCTTTCCTCTCACCCGTTTTGTTTTTTCCTCTTCGATTTCTTCTTTTTCCCTTTCCTTTCTTCTTCGTCTTCTATTCTGTTATTAAATCCAAATACGAATAGAGGAAGAACAAGAGACTTATGGAGAGGAACGGAAAGAAAGAGACAAAAAAAGTGAACTTCTTTTTCGTTTTTCTCATGTTCTTTTTTACGTCATTTATCCTTCTTTCTTCGCTTTTTCCCATCCACCTCTTTCGCGTTTTTGTTCTTGTGAAGAGAAAAAAAAAAACAACGATAACTCCTGAGTGAAAATTATTCCGGCTATCAATAAATCTCAGAAAAAAAAGAATGAAGGTATTTGGCGAATACATTAAACATAATTACATTCTCTCGGGGTCCTCAAGGAATGAAAAAAAGGTGATCAATCACCTTCAAAATTCGCGGAAAACAAAAACAGAAAAAAAATGACTGGTGAAGAAGAAAGAGAGGAATGTACATTTTGTATGAAGAATGTGTCATTATCCATAAAGTAAAAAAAAACTAAAATGAAAAAAAGAATGTGGCAACCGAACCAATACTCCGGAGGTGCTTTTGATGCGAAAGAAAAATATGAAACGAAATTGTTATATATTTTTTCTCTTTTTTATGTTCTCTACCTGCTTCGTTATTTTGTGTCTTGGTTACAGCGAAAGACAATCAATATCCGTAAACTCACAACAACAAAAACGAAATTCATGTAAATTAAATCCAGAAAAAAACTTGACAACTGTTATACTTTCAGCAGAAATAACATATACAAACATATTTACTGTATTGTATACAGTGTTATGAAAGAACATTACAAAACAAAACCTGTTTTTTTTTACGTATAATGTACTTTTCTACTAAATCACCAGATCATCTATTTTGCCATTCATCATACACGGCATCATTAGCCATTCAATAATTAACAAAAT